CTGGATCTCCGATCTTCCATTTCTCACCGAGCCAGTTGATCATTTCGACGTTCTGAAATCATCACTTCCTCATTCAAAGAAAGTAATTATGACTATTAATTATTATCAGTTTCCTTATACTTTACTTTCTCCATAAAGGTCAAAGATGACACTATTACAGGTACAAAACCCTGAGTAATACTCCCAAACAAGGATCTAGCACTGAAGTAAGGCGCATTTCGGCTTGGTGGGGGAGGGGCACTAAAGGGAGTGGCGAACTTTGAGCAGTTACCTTGTGAATTCCTCTAACCGAAGTGGCTCACTTGGATAGCTCCCCAGGAGCCTACAAGTTTAACCAAAGCCAGACCCGTTAGTTGACAAGATCAAGCGAATGTTCCCTCCAGGCTGAACAGCGCCCTCAAGCAATCTTACGCACTTCCAGTTATTGGTAGTTGCGGTCTAATGGGTTTTGGGTTACTGGTTAGGTCTACATGGCCTACAATACCCGTGCAGGGTCCAGGAATTATTCGAGAAATGCGCAAATTGTGCCAAAGGTGGAGGAGCCGTGATTCTCTGCAAAGCTGACATCCATCCATGCGACAACCCATAACGGCGCTATTCGGCTTGGAAGGGGCATTTAGCACTTTCGCTAGTTCCTTTTGCTAGGTCATGTTGAGTGACAGGTTTCATTTTGGACATTCGAATTGAACTCCTGCGAGCTTATTGGAGTAAGCCCCCCCGTCACAGGATTTACAGTTTTTCGCAGGTGGGCTGGGTAAGCTTACTTAGCTCAGTACCATTTTGTGCCATACCAAGCCATAGCGCCCCTGTAACCCATTCAACACACCACTACATCATTGCTTCAGCGTCACTATACACAGTGATGCTTTCTTTACATCGCTACCTGGACGAAGAGCACACCGTCCGCCATTAGGCGCCTCTTTGACCAAAGTTCTTGATCCGAGAATCTCTACAAACTTGTACAGTACAGCGCTACTGGATACAGCGCTCAATTGTACAAGAACCACGCAACCACCGTTACCAATCACCCAACTACCGCTTCAACCTTGCCAGTGCATACGGATCTCCTAGGACTTTACCCTGCAAACAGTAGGGCGTGTTACAGGGGCTTGGTTTGACAACCACGATGGCCTTTTCCCACCAATGATAACATCCTAGCCGGCTCCAGTTGGTGGGAAATCTGCCCTGATGTCGCTCCAAGTAGCACGCCTCATCGTTTGCAGGGTTCGTGACGGTATTTGATAGCCATTTTCTCCCCAGAATTACCTTGTCCTTGATTTCATCCTCAAGTCCTTCCCAGAAGTACTCGCCATCAGCCGTCTCACCGACATTCGTGAAGATTGAGTTCTTCTGGAATGTGGCCACTGCCATGGGGTTCGTCTTCTTGGATGTTCCTGAAAAGGAGCATTTCTGAGTTGAAGCTGCTGAAAACGTTTAAAATAAGAGCTTACCTGGTGCTACTCCGAAGAATCCTGATTCAGGGTTGATTGCGTAGAGACGACCATCCTCACCGAACTTCATCCAGGCGATATCGTCACCTACAATTCATCACTTATTGTCAAGGAGCAGACGGTAAGCAGTGCATAGCTAGTTGCAGGGTACGGGTCAGGAGATCCGAGTTGTGGCGACCCGCGGCGTAATTACTTATGTAGGAGTCGGTCTCGTGGTAGCACAGGAGCGACAATTGCTACGTTGCTTTCGTTACACGCCGCAACTTGGATCTCCTGACCTTCCCTCCTGGAAATCTATTGAGAGCCAAATAAGAGCCAGGATTCATAGCTATAACTCACTCACCAACACATCTGACCTTCCATCCTGGCAGAGCGGGCTCCAACATGGCCAAGTTCGTCTTACCACAAGCCGATGGGAATGCGGCAGCGATGAAATGCTCCTTGAAACCGTTAGATATTTTTCAACAATCGAGCCTCACCTATCGAAATCGGCCACAATAGCTTTCGAAAGACCCTACCTTTCCATCTGGGCGCGTCACACCCATAATAAGCATGTGCTCAGCCATCCATCCTTCGTCCTTGGCGATATTTGAGGCGATACGGAGGGCAAAGCATTTCTTTCCTGGAAATAATTGCCGAGAGTCATAAAAGAGCATAAAATCTGATTTATCGCAGACATTGAGGTGGGCGGAGCATGCGACGCGTTTGCGATGCGGTACGCGGAGGTAAACCGTATAGTGGGCGGAGTTTTCTATAGTGGGCGAGGCTGTCTCTGCAGAATGGAGTTTTTTTTTGCAGAATCGAAACAATGGGCGTAGGCGCCAGCCACTGGGCCTTTGCCCGCCGCATCGCAACCGCTCGCGTCTATGACTGAATCAGTTCGTCTTGCAACCTATCGCTTCGCAAGCTATTTCTGAGCGCTGAGCTAGTTTGTAATCCTTTGACGAAAGTGAATTTTGGCAACTTTTCGAACCAAACAGCAGTAGCTTCCCTACCGAGAAGTGAGTTTCCTCCATAACCAGATCCA